TGTAGGGGTGTGGGCTTGGGGGGTGGGGTTCGGGTATGGGCTGGTGGGGGGCTGCTGGGTTAGGTAGTGGGTAAAGGTGTTTGGGTTTGGATAATTTGGGCCGAATGTTGGGTAAGTGGGATTGGGTGAGTATGGGTTGAATGGGTAAGGAGTTTGATGTAGGTGGGCTTGGGCCAGGGGTTGGGTTGGGTAGGGCCGTGGCCCAAGTAATCCAGGGGAAGGAGAGGGGAACGTCCAAGTGTTTGGGCCCGAGGGTTGCCGCTGATTGCTGCCGCCGCCACGACCACGACTGTCGCTGCGACCCCTGCCACGGTTGCCGCCTCCACTGCCACCGCTGGAGTTCCTGCCGCGTCCGCCGGATCCGCCTCCGCCATATCCGCCGCCAAAGCCGCTGCTGCTGCTGCCGCTGCTCCCAGATCCGCCGTAGCCGTTGCCTCGGTCCTGCCGGTGTCCGCTGCCCGGATCACCGCCGCCGCTGCCGGTGCTTAGTAGGGCTGTGGATGGCGCGCCGACGGTGTAAACGGCGTCGTTTTGCTGCAGTTCAACAAGAAGTAATGCGGACCGAACCTCCAAGAACGTCGGGAGTGGATTTTGATATTGGAGGAATTGAACTTGACCTCGGATGTCGCGAGGGAGACCTTGAAGAACTTGGAGGACAAGGGCATGTTCGGTGACAGGAGCATCCACGTCGTCAAGGTACTCGGAGAGGTTCTTGAGAAGACGACAATATTCGTTGATGGAGAGTTGCCCCTTCATAGTTGTACGGAAACGATGTTCCAGTTGCATCGCCCGGGCATGCTTATTGTCGTGAAAAAGATTGTAGATCGCCGTCCATAGGGTATGAGCAGAGAGGTTGTTGGCAAGCACAAGATCAGAGACTTCATCCGTGATTGTGGACAGAATCCATCCCTGAATTAAGGCATCAAATTGATACCATTCAGCATCGTCTGCGGAGGAGGCTATGGTGGTGCCGTCGATGAAGCCTTTGAGATTGAAGCGGAGGATCAAGAGACAAAATAATCGACTCCACTTTTTATAATTTGGTTCGGAGAGGCTAAGTTGAACCGGGATATGAAGTTTGATGTTGGAGATGGTGGTGAAGGCAAGATGAGGAGAATTATTTGGGGAAGAGGTTTCGTTGTTGTTGGTAACTTTGCCGGAGGAGGCGGAGTCGGCCATGGTTGCTGGATGAAGAAGAATCCGACGAAGGGTTGGGGAAGAAGGCCTGGCCGAAACTCAAGAAGGAGAAGAGGGAAGGGAAGCCGTGAGAAATTAGGGCTCTGATACCATGAAGAATGAATATTTTCTATTGAATAATAATGAGAGATTACAAGTGTATATATACAAGAGTTTCCTAATGACAATAGGAAACAATAATTAATACACCCTATACAAATATGGTAGCTACCAATATACACCAATATTAAATATAGTAAGAATATATTTAACATTTATATTTAATTTTTTTACTTTAAAAATATTTTTTATTTGAATAATTGTTTGAAATTAAATTTATTCATTTTTTTCATTAAAACGTTTTAAAAAATTGAGAGTGCTACTCCTGAACCCCACCATACTCTTTAGTGTGCTTCAATGCCTCCATTCATATTTTTTCTAGATCCGCCACTGAATGAACATGACTTCTAACTTCTTGATCGAATTAGCTCTTTGTGATTTGATTAATTAGGTCAATAAAAAAATCTCTTGTAATTTGAAGGATGATTTACTGTGAAATATGGAGATACTCTAATATATCTTCTTAATTATCAACTACTTCTCTTTCCCAAAAAAACCTCTCTAATTAATTTTTCAGCCGTTTCAAAAAATATTTCTACTTTTAATTAAAATCCCTCTTTTGCCCTATTACAATTATTACTCTTTTTATTTCAAAAAGAGTCGTCTGTTGTTTACAAGATTTGACTAAAGTTATTTTCATTTCAATTTATTTGAAAATTGATAAAGAATTTAGAAATAAAATTTATATATTTAAAAACTACATAAAAATTCTACAAAACAAGAGATGACAAGACATTATTTTTTTCTCCAGTAGATCAGAAAAACAGGTCAAGAACGTGATTAAAATTTGACCTTTTGAATAGTAAACGGACAATTTAAATTGGAATGGTTGAAGTAACTTATTTATCACATCATATATATTTACTATTAACTTACCAATTACACCATATTTTACAATACAACAAAGTAGGGGCAATATTTATTCATTACTAATTTGCCAATGACATTATATTTATTAATTAGTAGTTATTTATTGATATAATATAGTTATCATGTTAGGATTTAGTATGGACGCATGAGCCCGTTAGGTCAATTGGCGTTACCGTATTACTCTCTCTATATATTGTAATCTTTTCGCGTTATTATTCAAACAATAAGAATATCATAAACTCTAATCTCTTTTCTCTTTTCTTAGAACTTGGAAATGCTCGAAGTTTTCCTTCTTTCGTTCCCTCCCCTTTCTTTGAGCCTAAAGACACTCAAAGATCTTCTCTATTCGATACATTATTCATAGAAAACTAAAATAAAAGTTATACATTTCTATAAAAAATAAATTCAAAATTTGAAAATTTTTATGAGACAAAAGTATATTAATTATTTTGACTTTATTTTGTTTTGGGAGTAGGAAAATAAAAGAAAAGAAAAATATAGTGGATGTGAAAAGAAGGAAAAGAGAGATATGGCTGCATCCACCCTTATCAAGAAGAAAAGAACATACACCAAGAAAAGAACGGATACCATATTTTACCCCTCACTTTCATGTCGGCGGGCTCCACCAAGAAAAGAACGGATGATGAGAAGAATACAAATGAGAAGAAAAACAAAAAGGGTTATGATACACTTACACCACAAATTGTACCCCATTTGTACACCACAATTATACATAAACATTTTGATGGTTTACACCGACATAAGTGTTGGTGCATTAACAAAAATTTACACGGACACAAAGTGTTGGTGCATTAATAAAAATTAGTTTTACACTAACACAAAGTGTTGGTGCAAATCTATGGGGTACAAAGTGGGGTAGAAAACATGGAGTACAAAATACAAATAGCTTTACCCAAAACAAAAGGGAATTAATTCCCAATCAGTGCTGGTTAGGATAAAGCATTCCCGATCAGGGAAGGTCAGAATTTTCTATATTCAAACGGTAGATGAAGTACCGTTTCATTAAAAAAAAATTAATTAATTTTCAAACGGTAGATGATGTACCGTTTGGTCTTTTAAATTTTAAATTTTATTTTTGAAATTTTAAAAAAATTATTTATTTATGTATTTTTTGTTTTAAATAAATCTAAATATATTTTTTTTAATAAAAAGATTTCATATTTTTTAAACTCATGTACATATGTATATGTTGATTCATACATAATAATCTTGTGAGACTGTCAAATGCACCGTTACGAAAACAAAAATACTCCCTCCGTCCTAAAATTATCTTCCCGTTTGTATTTACGTGGTTTGACTGACTTTATTTTTAAATCAATTTATTTAATTGTAGATGTAAAATTAAAAAAATAAAATTAATATATTTAAAAACTATATCAAAAGTTCTACAAAACAAAGGGAGTCAAGACTAGTATTTTATTTAATTTGAAGTATAAGTTTATTAATTTTGACCAAAAAAATTAAAAGTGGACAAAAATACTCAATGACGAAGGAAGCAAAAAATAATAAACTGAAAAAGTATTCAATGTAAAACAGAAATAGTTATTTTTAAAATCTAACATAAGAACTAAAATGGTAATCTAAAAAATGTCTATGAGTCGGAGTCATTGGCGAGTGAATGTCGTGGAACTATGAATTGACTTTCCGTACCACACCGCCTACCGCGTATTTGTTGTTGTGGCCGACGATGAACCAATGATGTACTTTGCTCTAGAGGATCTTGTATTTTATTCCCTTGAGTCAAGTGTGAAAAAAAGTCTTCAAATAGGATATCTGGCGGAACTCAAGGCGGTGGAGGATGTGAAGAGGACGCCCCATCCTCGAATGGTGGCTGTAGGGTAACAGGTATATATAATGATGGTGAAGCCCGGGGGACATCTGAGGTATGGTCGGCAATGTATGTGTCTAGATCATCGTCCTCTTTCTCCTCATCTGATGTCTCTGTGAAGAAGCCACCTAGTGTTGGTTCTCACAATGGAACACGTGCGCACCATACTCCAAACCCGACATAACAGTGTGCATGTAAATCGTGAAGTTCCAATTACGTAAGGCGTCCAAATGAATTAGACACATAAGCAGTAAGTAATACATATAACAAAAATTTCATTGGATGAATGGATCCAATGGTGATTGCACACTAATCTACAAATACAATTTTCAAATAATAGATATTAATCTACTGATGAGAATAAATAATGTTAATTAGAATGTACGAAATACATTGCCTAACACTGAA